ATTATCATGACGAGACAATCATTCCGGAAGGTTTCTTTTCTGTTTAGATTTGCAAAGAAGAAGAAAAATAAAACAAAATTAGTTTCTAAGAGATTTTTATTCTGATCGATTGTCTCTCATTTAGAAGAAAGGTCAGTGGTCTGGCATTGGACATTGAATAGTGTGTATATATATATATCTGATAAAGAAATACAGAAATAGAGATTCTAATTGCTTACTGACGATTTCGTCCTTAATCGTTCACTAAATGAGTAATAGAGGAAGCAGTTAGTTCCCTGCTGGCGATCTCAATAGACAAGCAGAGACTCATAAACATGACATATATTACTATCCTTCTCCTTTGTTTATTTACGCAATGAAACGAAAGAACTTGAAGATAAATCGCTGAGAAACGTGAATATATATATATACATATATATTGTAAAAGAATAGAATTGATGAAGAGAGATATAAAAAAAATAGAGAAATAAACGAAGAATAAGAAGAGTAAGAAGAAGAAGACAAGTGATAGAACAGTATATATCTTTGTGTTTTGAATATAGGGCGTGTCTGGTGAACAGATAGATAAAATGATTGCGGCACTTTCTTTGATAGTTATTATACATATATAGACATATCACTTTTCCAGTTGTGCACGCGTTTCTATTTAGTAGTATGATTTTGAGTGAACATGCCACTTTCTTTCTTTCTATGCCGATGGATAACTCAAATGTTCTTCATTCGATGATATAATGCATTGCAGAAAGTGTATATCAAGACATGTCTAATGGCGAGTGCAAGGTTTCTATCCTATAGATAGAGACGACCACTTCTCTCTTTATGATATGTTCATTGATGTAGAGTGATAAATTGCCTTTCTTGGTTTTTTCTTCTTCTTCTTTACCAATGTCTCTCTTCATCTTGTCATAATAAGATCGCATATATACATACAAATATATATATCAAGTGAGATGAGAGATGCTTCCAGTGCTAATACAAAAAGTCACACTGTGATAGATATCAATACAAGGACATTAGCTTTTAGTTTTCTATCCTAGTTAGTTAGTATAAACGAGTGACTTAGTTCTAAAACTTTCTAATTGTTAGATTTTGAAGTTATTTACACTTTTCGTGTCTAGACTTCTTGATCTTCCGGAAATAAATGTCATAGAATAGTAATTACTAACGATGATCGATCTGATAAAGTCTATTTTTTTTTCAGCGTCTAGTAAATTAGTTTCTTTTTCAGATATAAATATGCACGCAATATACTTAGCTATTCTGGTTTGTTTGATACTTTTTATGGTTGAAGGTTTTCCTCCTCCATCACCATCATCATCACCACCAACACGTTCACTTTTTAGTGAACAACGTCGAGCTCGTTCACGTTTTCGTCGTCGTGAATTAGTTCAAGAAGAAGTTCGTAAAACAATGTTAACTTATATGACAAGTTTAAAAGGTGAAATAACTGATGTTGTACTCGAAGAAATGATTGATTATTATAATAGTCAAACATCAAAATTATATCGTTTGGAAAAAGAATTAGTTAATTTAAAAAATACATCATTACCAATTTTACAAAATGGTACAACAATAAATGATTTAGTTGTACGTATGTCAAAACAACAACGTTCATTTGCATCAAATATATCACAAATGGAATATAAAATACGAAATTTAACAAATGTTTTAAATGATTTATTATCGGAATTACAAAAACCTGTACAACATGTTCGAAGACTTGTTTCAGTTAAAAAAGATTTCGAAGAAAATGAAACACCAACAGGTAAATTGCTAATTTTTCTATTACAAACAAATAGGTCACTTTTAATTATCATATCATCTATCTTGAACAATATACATATACATATATATTATGTAATAATAGATACCAGAAATATGAGTTCGTTATCACATTCCCTGGAGCATATCTATCCACACGCGTTTTGTTAATTGGAAAACAAAGAATAACTTTGTTTCTTTTTTTCCTCTCTCTTTCTCTCTATAGATTGCGATGATATACTTCGTCAACAACCAACACTTGTTACTCAAGGGATATTTCGTATAAAACCAAGATTATCATCTGAATCATTTGATGTACAATGTATTTTTGAAAATAATACAGGTAAATAATATAAGATTGATAACAAAATGTTACATATAAAATGATATTCTAATAGGATGGACGGTTATACAACAACGAATAAATGGTACAATTGATTTTTATCGTGGATGGGATGATTATAAAAATGGTTTTGGGGATTTACGTAGTGAATTTTGGTTAGGAAATGAAAAAATACATCAATTAACAAATCAAGGACAATATCTGTAAGTCTACGAAAATTATATTAAAAGTCAAACATATGTTCTCTATTATAAAGAAAACATCGTCTAGTTAGTTTTTATATCAATTGTTTATGTTTCTTTAGACTTCATATTGATTTAAAACCTTGGGATGGTTCACTACGTACGGCTGAATACGGAAAATTTTCATTAGATAATGAAAATCAAAATTATAAATTACAAATTTCTCAATATCAACCATTAACATCTACAGCTGGTGATTCGCTTTCATCACCATGGGATAATGCGAATGGTGCACCATTTTCAACATTTGATCGTGATCATGATAATTTATTTTATGATAATTGTGCTTTAACTTATCATGGAGCATGGTGGTTTACGAGTTGTTTTCAATCACATCTTAATGGTGCGTATGTACGATCACCACTTGCTTTACAAAATACAGCAAGAAATGGTTTACATTGGAATACATATGCACTGTATCATTCTATGAAAGAAACAACAATACGTATTCGAAGACAACGTACATCTGAAACAAGTGAAACAATACAATAATTTTATGTGAACTAATCATTTTCTTTTCTTTTGAATATCTTCATTTGAATTTATATATATATACGTGTATTAATTATGAATCTATATATGAACAAAATAGTTAATACTCAGGTTTATAATAATAATAATAGTCATTTTGAATTTTTTTTAATTTCAAACTATGAAAATAATGAATAAAATGTACGAATATGTTGACAATTTTTTTAGAAGTTCTTTTTAATAGAATTCGATAATAAACTTTATGTAAGAAAAAAATAGTTTGTCTTTTTTTTAAGGCGGCTGACTGCACGTATGTGCAGCAGTCGACTTATTGCTTTTGATATTCTTCTTCTTCTTCTTCTTCTTCTTCTTTTTCTCGACAGATGAGTCACGATTCAATTCTGTCACTCGTTCTTAGCACCTGAGCAGCATTTTCAATCGGAAAAAAGCTTGTCATATTCGTGAGAACGTGCTGAGTGCACATCTGAAAACCGTTTTTTGAAATTCGGTTCCGTGCGGGAGATACATAATTTCAAAAAAAAATTAATTAACACATGGTGATTTCCTTATACGGCTATCTATGACTCAGTATTATATGACCATTGATATATAAGATACTATATGCATATACATTTTAATTATCGTTTTTTTGTGACTTAAATTCATCATGATAGAGTCTACTCTATGAAAAGTAATTATTCGATGACTTGTTTATCTGAGTTTAATTAATCGATTTTGAGAATAAAATAAAATAAAATTTTAAATGGTTCAACTTTCCGCGTTTATGAGAGTTGTTAGACTTCTGCAGTCAGCCGCCTTTCTCCTACTTGAACTTGCTTCAAGTGGAGGTCTAGTTTTCTTATATATTCAGATTATTTTAGTGAAAAGCAAAACGAGGATCTGGTTATTAATTTTAAATAATTTTATTTAAAGTATTTTCGCATATGGATTACTATTGAACATATACTGATTGTTTTACAGAGTAGTTCATATTCATCTGGCAAAATAATTACAAATAATGTTATAATTCATGTATTGTTCAATACATTGAGCAATGTCGGAAGGACCGAGAATTTTTTATTAATTGTAGTACATTATGATTTATAGTAAATAATTTATTAGAAAGAATTGTGACCGAATATTAGTTCATTGCTTTATTATGCAATCTAAATCATATATATATACTATAGCGTACTGTGACAATATTTAATTCGTATCGCATGATCATATTGATTAGTTATGTCTGAGTAGTTCTCTTAAGATTTAGACAATCATATCGTGTAACAAGAGATAATAGCCACTCCAATTTGTTCTATTCGGCATGTAAGTCTTGTAAACACATTTATTATAATGCTTTTCCTTGACTTTTTAATCCAAGGGAAAGCAAAACTATCTTAAGGGTGTGGATGATATATTATGCTTTTACCCACATCCACACCCATACCCTTAAATCATAAAATGGTGTCACATGTGGTAGTGAATTTGGATACTTTGGTATCATTAGTACATCTCGAAATGTCTCATGGATTTCTAAATTTCCTTTGGACGAAGAAGTGCTTATGATACGAATGGTCCAGTTTTTCATAAATGAATATGATGAAATGACAACAGATAATACTGGGAGACTTGTTGCTGTCTAGGCTTGTTATAGTGCTGACTCGTAGAAGTGTCTAATTACAATGGAACCTATAGTTCAAGTTTTATACATATGATTACTTTGTTTTTGCAAACTATTCGCCATAAATATTTTTAAAAGCATGGATGTAGATGATATATTATGCTCTCACCTATACATTCTCAAGATTTCTTTCATTGACTATCCTCTACTCACTATATATTACGATCAATGTAGATATACCTCAGAGTTTATGCATGCGAAAGAAAACTGTAATTTGAAATGTCATTCACTTTCTTAATCTACACGCCACACATGACAAGAATATACATGTATGATAGATTAATATGATTTATGAATAACGGTTACTACATTAGCGCCCTCTTCAAATTCTCAATATGATCTTCTTTTCGAATGAAGGGCTCATGTTTTTATTTTATTTGATAAAATAATAGCCTATGACTAGAATTACATGTTGGTAGATAGACATAGACATATGTGTTTGATAAAAATAAATTTCTAGAGTACTCGGACAAATAATTAATTGATTTGTTTCGAAGAAATTCTTATGGCTCAAACAAAAAAATCCGTTAGTGAATTTATTCAAGATGCATTTTGTCCCATGGTTGCTGTTTTATGCAGTTATGATGCTGAAAGTATCTGTCGAAAAAATAATTTAACATTTGCAGAATTAATTCAACCATTCTGTCGTCTTCCAACTGAAGGTTTTAGTTTTTGAGCAAAACTTCTTTCTTAAAAATTCTTTTTATTCAATTTTTTAGTTAGTTATCGTGATCCATCAAATAATTTAATAACATTAAAAAATCTACGTCTTGAGATAAAAGATTTCAATTCTTTACCTCCACAAAATACTTTAGCTAAGAAATTATTAAATGATTCAGTATCAAGTGCATTAAATAATGGAATAGTTAATAATGAACATGAAATAAGTACTGAACAATATGAATTACGTATAAGAAGTAAAATCAAAATGAATTGTTAAACAAAAATATTGATCTCTGTTGTTATAAATTTAGATACAACACCTTGGTTTGACGCTTGGCGAGATTGTTTTTTACGTATAAGTTATAATGGCGATCATGAATATCTTAAAAATTATCTTGCCTGTAAATTAAAATAATAACTAAAAGAATTTATTTTATTTTATTCTTATAAAATTAAAAGGTATTATGGTTGTTTCAACATCTCATCTTGATCCAATGGATGCATTTGCTAAACTTGTTCAACAACAAAATCTTCAACAACAACAATCACCAGCTAAATTACCTAAATGGTTTATGACAAATATATATAAATATTTTGTTTTACTACATGATGTTACTGAAGGAGAAGAATCAAAGTATGTTTAGAAGAAAGTTTATTTTATATGAGAATATAAAATAGATAATCTTGAGTTTGTATATATATAAATATTTCTTGCAGTATTTCAATACGAAAGTAAGATATGCTTGGTTCTGTTTTTATTTCGGGGGATTTCGGGAAAACAAAATTTTGATTTTATTATCAATAGGTTTAAGTTTGGAATTAAATATTTTTCGAAAGACTTGCGAAAAGAATATGATGTATTGGTTACAAATTCAAAGGAGATATTTGAATCTTTAATTTTATTTCGATGATTTTGAATATGATTTCTTTTCGATTTTATTTTGTTTCAAACAGTTGGAAAATTTCAAAAATATTTTATTTATTTCAATAATTTTAGAGCTGTATCAGTATTCGGTGATCTTAAACAACAATATGGAGCTGGGAATTGTCATCTATTACAAATAAATTCTAAACGTGCTGGTCAAACAAGTGGAGATACAGATGCAGCAACTAATATGCCTGATCCATGGCGTCTCTATGTTAAACAATCATCGTCTACTACTCAACAACAACAAGAATCACAATCAATATCGAGAAAAGAAAGTTCAATGAGTGATTCTTTATCAAATTTAACAGAACTTATTGATCAAGAACTCAATATTACTAGTAGGATTTCTTTTTTTCTCAACGTTATTATTGAATTACAGATATATAGAGTACTTAAATTATCGGAAAGAAAGACATGGTGACTCCGTTGAATATCATGTTGTTCGTCGAAAGTTTTTTTGTCGAAAATAACTATTTTTCTTATTCTCTCACGAGCGAGACAAAAGTTCACGTATCTCTAATAATTTTTGTATGTTTGGGAACAAAGCTGAATAGTCGAATAGTCGTTCAAAGCATGCAATGAATAATACTCATTCACATTCAATCGTCATTGAGGATCGGCGTGGGTGTGACGAGTGATTGTGGGTGTGAGTTATTCGAAAATACACATCTGCCCACTCACACCCTAAAAACAGATAATATTACATTATGATTACTTTTCCTGTATACTGTGTCGACGAAAATTTTTATTTGTTTTCATTGCAGATTACTTCATATTTACTGGATAATCCATAGGTAGATTTTATCTTTAAGAATCGAAGACGAATATACATATCTTTGAAAATTATTGATTATTCTTTTATACAATTAACAAAATCGTATATAAATTTTTTAATACTTCTGATAAATATATATTCTCATATACTTCGACTAAATCTTAGGTCTATATTTTGATTTAGACTTGTAGTATTAACTGAAATTCGAATTAAAATTAATCGTTTTTATATTTCATACTTTAAATCTCTATATTTCTTTTCTTTTCTAGCATCAATCTCTCATCCATTAAGTTCATTTGATACATCAAGTAGTGATTTAACTTCTATAGGAACAACCGATGAAGGATATGATGGTTCATCAATAACAAGTGCATCTACAATTATTCATGGTGCTTGTTTAACATTAAGTGATCATGATAGAATTCATGTATTTATGTAAGTTAGTTTTTTTTATATTTATTTAATTTGTTTATTGAGTTATTTAGGAATGAATTTGTTACAAAAGGTCTTCTTCTATGGGTCGAAACAAATTTAAAAACATTTAACGAACAAGTAAAAAACCGATTATTTAATTTCAAAATTATAATAATCAGTTTTTTTTAGATAACATCACGTCGAGGTTTAACAAAATTTTTTTCCATGCCGAAAAAATTATTTGGTAGTAGTACTACAACTGCTAAAAATGTTCCATCAACCTCTTCAACAAAGTAAAACAAAAAATTTTGTTTATTTTTAATCTCCCATTTTTTATATTCAAAGTTTAACAAATGATTCAATGGAAATTCGTCGTGCTGGTGATTTGGCATTTCTTTTTCAAAACTATGAATTTGCTTACAATAATTACTATGCAGCTAAACGAGATTTATCACGTGATCAAGCACCCACATTTTATGCTGGTGTTTTAGTAAATATTTTTCTTAGAAAAAAAACCCCAATAATTATATACTTTTTAATCTAAGGAAATGTGTTGTCTATCAAATTTTATGCAAGAATCATCCGCAAGTAAAACTTATCCCGCACAATATATGGATGAAGCTATTGATATTTATTCACTTGCATGCAGGTAAATAAAAAAAATATAACATTTCAAATGATTAATATGATATTATTTAGATTACCTATATTTGCTACACGCTGTGTACTTATGTCAACAGAAATATTGAAATCCAAAGAAGCATATGATCAAGCTGTACAACAATTTCTTAAACTTTCACAAGAAGTCGAATATTTATATTGTATTATTTTGAAATGTATATATTGAATTGAATTTTAGGATTCGGATTTACGCGGTGCACTTTTTCTTGAACAAGCTTCACATTGTTTTCTTAATTATCGACCACCATACATACGAAAATATGCATTTTATATGGTTATTGCTGGACATCGTTATTTAAAAGCCGGACAGGTTAAAATAGAAAATTTATTTTAGTAAAAAAAAAGAAAAATTCATATTTTAGCGTTTACATGCTCTTCGTTGTTATACTGATGTTCTCAGTATTTATGAAAAACCAAATTGGTCATTAGCTTTAGTAAGAATTTCTTTTTACTTATAAAGAATTGAGATATCATATGATTTTTTTTAATATTAGGATCATATTAATTTCACACTGGGTAAACAAAGTGCTTCATTAAATCATTCCAACGATGCAATAAGAAGTTTTAATGCTCTCTTTGCACCAAATAATCGTATACAAAATGCTCAACAACAAATTAATTTTTTTAAGGAATATTTAACTGTATTCAATGTAAGATTTTTTCTCTTCTTCTCTTCAACTTAATTTTTGATATTATTCAGCAATTAACAAATTCGCAAACTAATCTACCTGAATTACCAGTACCAGTTATAGATAATTCAACTATTAAAATACTTCTCGCCGGTCAACAACAACCACAAATAGGTTTGTTTGATTTTCTTTCCTATGATTAAATAATAATATATATTTTCTTTCAGGTACTCAAGTATCGAATTGTAATGATTTCGATTTTGATGAAACACGAAAAGTATGGTCAGATCTTGAACGTACAATAACTGCACATGATCGTCGAGCTAGCGGTACACGTACACAAATAAATCTTTTTACAAGTCGTACGCATAATCAACAACATCCAATAGCTGTTGCGAATGGTTTGTAAAAATAAAAAATATAAGTGAAAGAGATTATCATTTGTAATTTAAGAAACTATACGTGTGGAATTCTATGTACGAAATATACTTCAAGTTCCTTTATTATTAAGTGAAGTACAAATATTATGGAAACATTCATCAAATAGTTGGAAAAGAAAATCAAGTGTATCAGCAGAGAATGTAGAAGATTCAAAAGAATTTACTAATGATACATTAACGAAACAAGTAAGAATTAGTTTTGATTTATTTATAATGTCTACTATCAATTTTCTAGAGTGATGAACCTGTTGAATGTGATACTCTTACTGACTGTGTTGTCTTTCCAAATGATACTTTAAAAGTAAATAAAAATTATTATCTAAAATAAATTCGAATTTATCTTTTAATTATTAAAGATCGAATTATCATTACGACCACGTCGTCCTGGTTATCTTACAATTTTAGGTATATGTTATCGATTAAATATTCTAGTACAAAATATAAGTGATCAAACAACATGGCCATATGGAATTAAAGGCAAAACATTATTTCATGTTAAAGGTACTCGACTTAATTCAAATCATAAAGAACGTCTTAATGTTATGTATGGTGTTGATAAACGATTAGAATTACAAGTTATACCTGAAGCACCATTACTTCAAGTAAGATTTTCATTTCTTTTGTTATTTTATAAAGATTTTCTTCTTCAGATTGAATATTCTCCAATGCCTACTGCAATGTTTTGTGGGGAAATTCAATCTTGTTTAATTCATTTAATTAATAAAAGTTCAACACA